GACCTTGAGCGATCCACCCACCTCCGCCTCCCAGAGTGCTAGGATTACAGGCGTGAGCCACCATGCCCGCCCGTCCCTCTCTTCTAGTGTCTTTCTCTGTGCCTGGTGTCTCGCCTCCATCTCCGAAGGTCTGAAACATCGTTTAGATGTTTAGATTTTAGTTTGGATTTTTAGGTTTTTATGAAATTCACCGTACGTGTGCATCTTCCTTACCTTTTCTTAAATGTTTTGCCATGCGAAGGTGATTTTGATAATCCAGTCTCAAATACGAGCAGTGTGTGCTTTTTGTGCTTTCAGTGTGTCGTGCAGTTTTGTCACCTAATGACTTTCCTCTGACATGTTCCATTCTGTCTCAGGTTTTACCTTGGGGGACCGACAAGCGTCCGTGGATTCAGCATGCACAGCATCGGGCCGCAGAGCGAAGGTCTGTCCTTCCCCGTGGTAGTGCTAAGTCTGAGTGGTGGTCATGGCTGGGTTTTGAAGCCGTGTATTTGTTTAAATTACAACAATAATAGATGCTGATATTTCACAAAGGTGGAATTAGCACCTAGCAAAGCATTTATCAGACAGCAGTCATGGAATATTTATTGACAGAATTGTAGAAAAATGAGAAAATATATCTAAGCAAAAAATATATGAAAATAACCCGCAGTCCTACCACCCAGAGAGAACACATGTGAATGTTTTGTTGTATATTCCCTTCCGGCTTTAAACGTACGTGTCTTTCTACTCTTTGTTTTGTGTGCATACTTATTTTTAACTTATTTCTTTCACCACCCCTCCTGACAATGTAACAGTATATTTTTATGGGAATGAATTCTTTATCATTTTTAACAGCTGCATATTTTATCTAATTACATACTTTAATTATATTTTAATTAATAGACTTTCTTTTTGAGACAAGAGTCTCACCGTATCACACTGGCAAGGGTGCAGCGGTGTCATCACAGCTCACTGCAGCCCCAAACTCCTGGGCTCAAGCGATCCTCCTGCCTTAGCCTGCCAAGTAGGTGGGACTATAGGCTTGAGCCATGACACCCAGCTAATTTTTTCTATTTTTAGTAGAGATGGAGTCTTGCTCTTGCTCAGGCTGCTCTCGAACTCAATGGACTCTATTTTCAGGAGCAGTTTTAGGTTTACAGAAATTGAGCAGAAAGTAGAGAGTTCCCATATACCAGCCCCACCACTCCCCACCCCAGCTTCCTCTAGTATTAGCACCTCGTACTGGGATGGTACATTTGTTACAGCTGATCAAACAATATCGTACATTATTAACTCGAGTGCATAGTTTACCTTAGGGTTTTCCCCTTTGTGTTGTGTGTTCCCCGAGCTTTCGCAAATGCACAATGTCGCGCACACAGCGTTACAGTGCCACATGGAGTCCTCAGAGTCCCTGCTCCTCCTGTTCCCCGCTTTGTTCCTCCTACCAACCGCAGGTCTGTTTACCGTCTCCACAGTTTTGCCTTTTCTGAATGTCACAGAGTTGGAATCACATAGTGTGTAGTGTTTTCAGATTGTCTCCTTTTACATAGTAATGTGCATCTAAGGTCCCTCCATGTCTTTGGGGGGTTTGAGACCTCGTTTCTATGTGTTGCTTAATAACATTGCGTTGTGTGGATGTACCACAGTTTGTTTATCTGTTCGCCTCCCAAAGGACATCTTGGTTGCGTGTTTTGCAATTATGAATAAAGCTTCTGTAAACATTTGTGTGCAGGTTTCTGTGTGGACGTAAGTTTTCAGATCAGTTGGGTAAATACCAGGGAGCACAGTCTCCTTGATCATGTGGCAAGAGCACGCTTGCCTTTGTAAGAAACTGTCGGACTCGCTTCTAAAGTGGCTGTACCATTTTGCATTTTCACCAGTAATGAGTGAGAAAGATAAATACCTTATCGTTTTAACAGCTGCATATTTTATACTATACTTTTTTATACTATAATTTTTCTAAACCAAATCCCAAGTTTTGGACATTTAGTCTGTGTTCTTCTTCTTCTTATAAAACAACGTATTAGTCTTCTAACTGAATCTTTGTGTTCATCTATAAGTTTTACTTTAGTATAAAGTTCTAGATGTGGAATTTCTAGATCAAAGGATTTTGAGTATTTCGAAGGCTTTATCTTGCTCTCTAGAAAGGTGGTTTCAATGTTCTCCCTCCAGCAGTGTGTGAGATTCCTGGAACTCTCTCTGACGCTCTACGTTACGTCAGAGGTGTCTCCACACGTTATTAAAACTTAATGTCAGTTAAATGGCTGCATATTGTTCCATTATAAAATATTCTACCCTGATTTTCTTAAATTTTTTAATGTTTATTGCTTCCATTTTTATATCATTATAAACAACGACCGAACTCTGCATAAATTTCTGTGCAAAGTAATGATTATTCCTTTCACTTGTTTTGAGAGTGCTTCATTAGAGTGCAATTTTTTTTAGAAAAGAAACAACTTTTTGATAGTTATATTTTCTTTTTTTATGATAAGCAAATATGATATGCTGACTGTATAAAGCTTTGGAAGTCTTGACTTGCCTGAAAAGTAAAACACAATGATATTCCACGTGTTCCCTATCAAAGAGGCGACTGGCAAGATTTTGTCGGCGAGGATGCAAATTTCTGTAACTTTTTATGAAAACAATTTCATGTATTGAGAGCTGTAATATATACATATGTGTGTGTGTGTGTATTATTATTAATACTATTAATGATAGCCCCACGCTGGAAACTGGAATCCCAAATGCCCATCAACAACAATAGAAGGTGCAGATAACGAGTGGCATCTCCCACTGTGACGAACAACAGATCGTAGCTGTGGCTGAATGGTGGTGTGAATGAATCTCAGGAGCATGTTTTGCAAAAAAAAGAGAAAGCCAGACCCAGAGGAATGCCTGCTATGTGATTCCCTTTGACTAAAGTTTGGAGACAGGCTCAAGCAGTCTGTGGCTGGGCTTGGTGTGGGTGGCGGGTAGTGATCAGAAGGGAGCACGGGGTCTGCGTGCTGGTCGCGTTCTGGTCTCCATCTGGGTGCTCCTTACGCAGGTGTGTTTGCAGGTCCGTTGAGCTGTACACGTAGCACGTGTGTACTTTTCTGTCCGTGTGTTTGAGTCAGAGTTCAAACAAGTGCGTGCGCAAGGACACTCGTCATAGGTTAACGTCCACTATGAAGAAGTTAGAAACCACTATGACACTAGAGGAGAAATGGATAATTACATTTTGGTACATTTATGTTATTATTCAGGCATAAAAGTGATATTTTCATTTTAGCATAAAGCATCAGGAGAAAGTGCTTATGATATATTAAAACTGAAAAAAAGGCAAGACTGAAAATACCCTTTGTGTATATTCATATAGAAATGAGCCACATTTTATTTACGTATTTAATTATGCATTATAGCCTGTAATTCATGGAAAAAAGAACACCAGGATGCTCGCTGTTTATCTCTGAATGGAAGAAATTAAAATATTTTCCTTTTTTTCTCTATTTCTGTATGTTGATCGAATTATCTACAGTGACCATATTACTTTTATGATCAGAATACAGTAATTTATTTAAGATAGGGGGCAGTTTCTGGGAAACGAAACCAAAGTTTGTCTGCTATTGTTTGTCCATTCTTTGTTCCGTTTAGAACTTCAGTTTTAAGAGGGGTTAAGTAGACAGGTTGCTGAAGTCCTTAAATGAATCAACCGTTCATTCCTTGAGGTTTATCTTGGAGACATCCAATATTCTTCTTTTCCATGGTCTGTCATTGTGTATTACAGAGGACTAAGACTTTATAAATAGTATTTTGCAACAAAGTATAACCATCAGGTTGGAGGAGTTTTTTTGTTGCTTTGATGTTATGGCTGTATGTGGTTAAAATGGAATGGATGGGAGAATTTTTAGAAATAATGCAAATACATTCTCTCGGTGGATAGTCTTGAATTTTAGCAAAAGTAACCTAAATTCAGGCGGTCATGAACCATTAAAAAATAGTCTCTTCTCTAGACACTGAGCCAGAGCACTGTTTGTCTGTGCAGTGGGTGGTGGACACTCTGTGCCTTTCGTGAATGGTGTGTGTGACTGTTTCCAGAAACTGCAGAGACATTTTCTGCATTTTGTCTCTCTATATTGTGGTCTTGGAAATTTTGCAAAATAATGCGTATCGTCCTCCAGGTGGAAGTGATTTGATAATCTACGTTTGTGAATAAAACAATAAAACAAGATTCACTACTTTTATTCTAAGCATAATTACTGAGTTTATCCTTTCCTTAACTACATTGGCTTCCCACCCCCCTCAGTTAAATCTAATTGTAAAACAAACCAGGAGAAAAAGAAAGATGATTTAAAATCAGGCCAGCAACATGAGGCATTAAAGGAACAAATAGCAACAGAACTCGAGCACTGTGTGCTGTCATGTACAGGACATAGATCTTGCTTCTGTCAGTTGTGGAGAGTTAACGTGATTTTAAATTTGTTGACCTTGTTGTTGCCCTGCCTTCCTCCCTGGATTAGGAGACTACCTCGGTGGAGAAGCATACTGGGCCGGTGGCCTGCACCTGTATACCCCGTTACCCTTCCGGCCAGGGCAGGGCGGCTTTGGAGAACTTTTCCGAACACACTTTTTTCTCAACGCAGGAAACCTCTGCAACCTCAACTATGGTAAAGCTTGCACTATTAGAGAAACCATTATAGTACAGTAGTTTTCATGTTTAACAGCCCAGTGCACAAATAGCTGTCTATCTTTTTAGATTACCTAGTCTTTAATTTTAGAGACTGTGCCTTCCTTTAAAAAACGTTTCTGTAACACCTAATATAGTGCCCAGAATTAAGTTGTTGGTTGAATGAATGAAGCATGCAGGAAAAATAATCATCAAATGTTCTTACAAAGTATTTATTCAACAAACATTTCTTCAGCACTTACTATATACCAGTTGTTGGGGCCACAGAGCTGAGTAGGATTGGGTACCTTCCTCAGGGAGCTCAGGTCCAGAGGAGAATCACAGCAGCCGTATCTAGCTCAAGGTGCCGCCAAAGCTTCACACAAGACAAGGCCCTTGAGCTTGGAGTGGGACTTCCCAGATGGTCATGGGTTGGGGAAAAGCCATTCTAGGTCAAGGGAACCAAACACACCAGACCTAAAGAATTGAGAAGGCTTGACTTATTCTGGGACAGTGAGTAAGTGTGGTCTCAAGCCTGCTCTTGATTTGGGTCCCAATGTCACTTCATGCGTTCTCCTTGACTATCTAGGCCTAGCTTTAAAACTTAGCACTGGGCACAGGAAGGGAGAGAGCCAGGGCTTGTCTGAGGGCAACTGTGAAAGGATGAGCCGCACGCTGTTGCTCACACATCCTTGTCTTTTCAGGGGAGGGCCCCAAAGCTCATATTCGCAAGCTGGCTGAATGCATCCGCTGGTCCTACGGTGCCGGCATCGTCCTCAGGCTTGGCAACATCGCTCGGCTGGAACTTAATTACTGCGTCCCCATGGGAGTGCAGAGGGGCGACAGGTGCGTGTGGGGCTTATCTTCCACAATTCCATGACACTCTCCGGTAATCTCATTTTGTATTGGACGTGGTTGATTTCATCAGTGGCTTTTAAGGTTCGAGATTTTAAGAGAAATAGAATAGTCACCAAAAAGAATGGAAATACATGTATTTTTCTCCATTGGGTTTTTCTTCATTCAGTTTGGAGAATAAATGTGACATATTCCCATCCCCATCCCGCAGATGCTTTGCGCTTATTGTCCCAAAGTACTGGGCGCCCCTGCAAGGGTCTGGCTGGAGGAATTGACAAGGCGTATTGGTCCTGCATACTGAAAATGGAGTTCAGCGTTTCTGGTGGTTGACCTTGCAGGCCAGGGCCTCTGGGGAGGTTGGGGCAGGCGAGGCTTCGTGCCTGGTTGCAGAGGGCTCAGCTTCGACACCGTCTTGGCCTTCCTCCTCGACTTTCTTTTATTGAGTAAAGATTTGCTAAATATCACACGGATGGCTGGGCACGGTGGTGCATGCCTGTAATCCCAGCATTTTGGGAGGCCAAGGCTGGAGGATCACTTGAGTCCAGGAGCTCAAGACCAGCCTGGATAACATTGTGAGACCTTGTCTCTACAAAAAAATAAAAATTAAAAAAAAAAACATAACATGGATGAAAATAGTATAAGGCTATTTGCTGTTATAGATACAAATTCTATTTCAGAAATTCACAAGTATTGTCATTATAGTGTGTCTCAGTCATCTCTGGCTGCCATAACAAAACACCATAGGCTGGGTGACTGAAACAACAGACATTTATTTCCTCACAGTTCTGGAGGTTGGGAAGTCCAGGATCAAGGTGCCAGCAGATTCAGTGCCTGGTGACCTGGCTTGCAGCCTTGTCACTGTGTCCTCACGTGGTGGAAGAAGGGGACAAGCATGCACCCCAGTGTCTCTTCTTAGGACGGTCTAATCCCACCACGAGGGCCCGCACTCGTGACTTCATTTAAACCTAATCGCCTCCCATAGATCCTGCCTCCAAATGCCATCACGTTGGGGGTCAGGACTTCAACCTATGGATTTTGGGGGGACACAAACATTCAGTCCAGAACAGTGTTTGTATTGTCTCTTATTATTTTTATGTTTATACATTCTGTACTCTGGGCTATACTTTTTCTCTTCGTTTTTGTGTCTCCTCTTCTGTTGCCACCAAGGGGTGGTGCTGTTTCAAACATATTGTAGTTCGTCCCCGTTTAAGGAAATACGCTATCGTTTTTACTCCCACTGCCTTCTCCGTCAGCCTCGTAGGTGATGGGATTGTTAAAGGATCTCCACACTGGCAGGCTTTCGAGAGAGCGTTCTTACCTGGGAGCAGTTCCGGATCTGTCATTCAGACCCTTTGTGGTTGTCACTTTAGTAGAATCTGCTCTCGACACTCTTCCTGGAAGGCTAGTTCAGATCCACTCACATCTGGGGGCACGGCGGGGGCTGTCAGGCTGCTGCACTCCCTGGGGATGAGAGAGCCTACGGGTGCCTTCATGGGTGCCAGCTCACCTCCACACCTTGCCTGTTCTCTGCACAAAGCAAACACTGAAAAGGGTTTGGTCACACGGACTACGTGTGCGCTCTGGAGCCCAGCTGCCCGAGCTTTGTCCCAGCTCGGCCAGTCTGTGTGGCTGTGTGACCTAGAATGAGTTACTTAACCTCTCTGGGTCTCCATTTTCATGTCCTGAGAATGGATAGTAACGATAGTGACTATTTTGCTTTTTTGAAAACTAAATGAATCAAATGCACGCAAAGCACTTAGAGCCCTGCCTGGCGTGTTGTCAGGAGATGGTGGTCCTTCGTGTCACTGCTGCTTTGTGTCACAGCCCCCGTGGCCGGCGCTTCTCACAGGAAGGGAAGGGAGTTCCTGTCCAAGGCGCGGCCCCGCCCCCTCCGCATCGTCCCCCTGTGGCTGCTGCCTGCTTTTCCTGACAAGCCACGAGTGGGATGACATGTCCTGATTTCAGAGATAGGAAGATGTGAAAACTGTGCACCTTTCTCCGAGAGCAAGAAGCTTGCCCACGCCTTTACGGTCTTCAGCGAATGAGGCTGGTTTTGCATGTTTCTTTGCATGAAGCCCCTGTTGCCACCACAGCTGGGAGAGTGTGAGTCTCAGCTTGACAGCCAGGTGCTCACTGGAATCCCTGCAGGGGCCCCAGAGGCACTGGGGCGGTCTGCACCACGCTGGATTGAGTCAGCGTGGGGTATATGGTGAGGCTGTCCGAGCCAGTACTTCTCGCTCTGTGCTGTGCCTCCGGATCTCCTGGGGGCCTTGTCAGAGGCAGACTCGGACCCCTTCAGCCAGACAGGCTCCCCACTGCTCTGGGGCCCACCAGCAGCCCTGTCCTCCAGCCCCTGCAGCTGTCACTGTCGTCGCAGTACTGCTTGCGGCCACTGGGTGTCAGTGTGCTCTGCAAAGTCAGAGGAGCCCCTGCCCTTTCTCAAAGAATGTTTCCAGAGAACGGTTATATTTACCTTTTCGCTTTGCCTCTCTGTCTTCCGGTTAAACCTGAAAAATATGTTTCAGAGACTAATTTCAAAATGTGAAAGGAGGAAGCCTACTGTGCACGCGATACTTAAAGATCAGACCAGAAGGAAGCTCCTCTGGCCCCTGGCTGGGCAGCAGCTCTGTTTTGCCGCCACAGTTGCAGCAAATGTTCGTTGTGGGCTGTGAGCACTGTCACGGGGGCAGCCTGGCACCCCTGAGTGCGGAAGTCACTTTCACTCAGTGTGTGGCTTTGTTTGAAGTGTTACCATCAAGATTGGAATTTTGTGGAGTTTGAGTGATGCTGTCAGAATTAAGCTTTGTTTCTAAAATCAGGCAACAGGCAGGGTGGGGATTATGTAGGTTGGAATTATCCCGAGATATCCCCCCATAGTTAACGCGGAACACTGTAATTAGGAGTTCAGACTTTTAGAAAAATGGTAACAGTTTTGAACTGTTTGCTACATTTTATATTGGAGGTGATTTATGGCGCCGTTGTCTCTGGGCTCTTAACATTGTTCTGTCACTCGGCGTCGTAGCAAGTGCGGTCTCGGGAGCCCAGGGACGACTCAGGCAGGCTGGCTTGGGAGCGGCTCACGGTTGGTAGCAGGGAAAGACAGGAAAGCGGATTGTCTCGGCTGAGGAGGAGTTGCGAGGCCTCCTGAGGGGCTGGCACTGAGTGGAGTCTTCCCGGAGGACGGCCGTGGACTCGCAGAAGACGGGGCAGGGCGGTGCTCCTGGAGGCGGCGGGAGCTGTGCAGGGGTGCAGTGTCGGTGGGCGGCAGAGCAGCGTTCTGCAGAAGCAGAGGCGGCGCCTGGGGAGGCCCTCGAGTCTCACTCCGACCCCTCGGCCTTTCTGCCCCACTGGCCTTTCTCCCCCCGGGTATCTGCCGAGGTGTTTGGGTTCAGGGCGTCATCCGCCCTGTCCACGGAGAGTTCCTCATGACCAGAACGGCATGTGGTGGTACAAGTGAGGGCCCATGGGAGATGCCCCTGACGTACGGCGGGAGACGGGGTGCAGGGCCCCAAGGGTGCCGTCAGCGTGACCTTCCTGAACACCCTCATGCTGATGCTGGCGGTGCTGGGTCAGAGACAGGTGGGAGACCACCAGGGGCCCTGCACCAACACAGTGATGGGGGCAGGGCGAGAGACGGGGACACTCGTGGGCCTAGACCTAGCCCAGTGGACACTCAGCAGAAGGTGGGTACTTGAGGCTGGCCTCGTGCAGCTTTGCAGTGCTGCTGTGAATGTTTGTAGTGGGTATTTTGTTCTGTGACATGTTTACATGGTCTCTGAACATAAACCTGTAATTGTGAAGTTGTTTAATGTTTGTAGCTAGAGTGAACAGGAATGCCTGCTTGTTTTCTGAATTTCATAAGCCAACAACTTAACTTATTTTTTAGCTCATAGCTTATTTTCAGACATTTTTCTAAGTAGTGAACGTAGGCATAGATCACTTTTACAGAGCTGATGATGTAAAATGTGAAAACAAACCGTTTCGATTTGAACACAACTAAGCAGTACAAATGCAGTCAGGTTTTGGTTTAGATTCTTGCCTTTTAAGGACGTTGGGGTGGTTTATGCTGACACTAGATCACAGAGGGGTGCACATATTGCTTCTGGTTAGGTCGCGTGGGCTGCCGCTGTTGCCCAATGGGCACCAGGATCCCTGGAAGGTCAGCGGAACGTTGATAATTATGTGTCCTGAATCTCTTCGTGGATCAGATATTTTGTTTCCTTGCTCAGAGTCAGGTTGAAAAAGAAAAGCTTCCTGCCAGTTTTCATACGCTACGAATCCTCAGGTTAGGTAAGGACACGGGTGTAATGATGGTAGAAACGTCCATTCTCTTCTGAATGAGGAGCTATTTTTATTGGCTAGTCTCTTCTAGAAATTACCCACCGCTTGCAAAAATGCTGCATTCCACAGCGCACTGACTGGCAGTTGTTTGGGATTCTAAAGTCATTTCCCTGGGAAGTTTAGGTCCCGGTGTTAGGCCCACTTTGTCCCAAATATGCAGCATTGGTCTTGTCCTTAAGCACAGGCTCTAGGTGGGCAGAGACCCCGAGGGCCACAGTGCATGCGCGCCGTCCCGATGACAGGCTGCCCCACCGCTGTGCGTCCTCAGCCGGGCTGAGGCAGTGACGTGTCGGAAAGAGCAAGGCCTGTGGGTGCTCCTGAGTCTGGTCCAGAGTCCTGCCCTGTCGCTTCTCAGCTATGTGACCGGAGCCTGTTTGCTCATCCAAAAGTGTTCTGTCAGTGGGTTATCACCAGCACGTGGAATCCCACCTGCACAGTGTCAGCTCATGACAGGTGTTGCAACCAATATGACCTCTTTGCATCCTTCCTGGGTCAGGAGCAGGTCTCAGAGGTGGTCAGGCCAAATCTCTGTGGGGCTGCGACATTGCCATCTTTTCCTAAGCCCCTGGACCTTCTGGGGTCAGAACTCAAGATCTGCCCACCTACCTGCCCCCAGCTCCTCCCCTCCCCCGCTCCCCTGCCTTTCTGTCCTCCCTGTTGGGTTTGGGGGACATACAGGAGGTGAGGAGGGTGCGCTAAGTGTTTGTGGCTCCATTTCGTCCCTTTGCCAGTCTCCATAGGCTGGTTCTGCACCACACAGGAGGAGGTGGCGGGTCGCCAGGGCCAGGCAGGCAGGAAGGCGGGAGGCGGGCGGGGTACTGCCGAGGAAAATGGCAGGGTGAGCGGAGCCAGCCGCGGTATCTGATTTCTCCCTTCTGTATTTTAAGGATATGTGATGGCGTCCAGTTTGGAGCTGGGATAAGGTTCCTGTAGCTGACACCCTCCAGGAGAAGCTCTGGGACGCGGGCAGCAGTGTGTCGCCCCTGCCACGGCTGAGAGATTCTTTGACTGCGGTCCTGGCGGGAAACCACGTCAATAAAGTGTAAAGACGCACACTCAGGGGCGTCGTGGGTATGATTTGCTTTACTGACCACCGTGTCCCACGCTGGCCTTTCCCAAGGACGGCCTGGTCCTTTCACACGCACCTCCCAGACCCTTCAAGTCTCAGCGTTTGGTTCCCAGGTACCAGGTGTCAAGTATTCAGCAGAGCCGGGAGCAGGGAGGGTCGCTCGGCCTGTGGCGCTGGGCGATGCCAGGGGAGGCCCACGGCAGCCAGCAGGAGTCACAGTGCTGGAGGTTGGAGTCATTTAAGTGAATGTGAGTGGCATGGGAGGAACAGTCGTATTAGGGACACTGAGGCAGAGGGAAACTGGTATCTATAGACTCACAGCAGTATTAATAAGACTACTATGTTGGTTTCCTGCTCTAACGAATCACCACAACCCTAGTAGCTTAAAACAACACACTTCGTCTTGCAGTCTGGAGATCAAGAGTCCAAAATGGTTCCCACCAGGGTAAAATCAAGGTGTCATCAGCAGGGTTGTGTTCCTTTCGAGAGCTCGGAGGGAGGAAGGTTTCTTTGTCTTTGCCAGTTTCTAGAGGCCGCCCACGTTCCTTGGCTAATGGGCCCCTCCCCATCCTCAAAGCCAGCACTGTCCGTCTCTCTCTGCCTCTGCGTCTCTCTGCTGTCTCTTTAGGACCCTTGTGATGACATTGGGCCCACCCAGGTAATCCAGGATAATCTTATTTTCGGGTCAGCTGATTGACAACTGTGATTCTATCCGCGACCTTCATTCCCCTTGTCGTGTTATGCAACATAATCACAAGTTCCGGCACTGGGATGTGGTGCCGTATAAACAGTGTTTATACGCCACGGTGCAGTGTTGCCATGGCACCCCCGGAGGCCGCGGCGGGGACACTTTACCGTCGGGTTCCCCATTATTCTCAGGCCTCCCTGTAGCCTGTTGTTCATGTCTTTGCCAAGTGACCTCGGGATTTGGGTCCAGGCACCCACATCCAAGCTCTCAGGCCCCCTGAGGACTGTCCCATCCTCATTGCCTGCGTGAGCTGCAGGGATTTTGCAGAGAAAATGTAAGAAGAAACACAATTTTGCCTTCCTTTTAATAGTTGGGGACATGGGAAAATATACTTTTTTTCCCTAAATTGTTTATTATTTACATTTTTATATTTATGCCTTTGGCAAAATAAACCCATGTTACATTGTCACATTCAGACGATAAATTTAGAACAGTGCAATCTGAATAATGAAACTCAGACACCATGACCTTTAAGAATTCATCTGCTACGTCAGTGGAGAGCCCAAAGAAGTCGTTTTTGGAAAGGTGCATGTTCAATGCAGCAAGTGCGAGTTACCCGGGTTGCTGGAGCCAGCTCCTTAATTAAAGCACACCAGGTCCAGCTGTCTCCAGTGCGGCTGCGACGTGTTTAATTCGCAGGTGGACTCCACAGGCTGTGCCTTGCAAGGGGAGATGAAAACAGTGGAGGCATTGGGTACAAATGGGAATCTGTTCATTCTCAGGTGGTATTAAGTGGGCAGATTAGATAAAACCAGAAGCACTTAACAAAGTGCTTTCCATGAAAGCCCAGAAATAAGGCAAGCTCATTGTGGGAAGTAATTTTTCATAGCTGCTATTTTCGAGAGCTCAGACAGAAAAGAAAGATGAAAAGCATAACAAATCCTCCATGAAGCATCGTCTTGGCGCGGTGATTCTTCGCATCTTAATGTTACCCCATTTCTTCTCTAAATACCTGATGTTCCGGGCTGGAACAGGTTTGATATTTGCTTAATTAGCCTTTTGCTCTATTCTGCGACGGATGTGCTGTGCAGCCAGCGTGCTCGTTCTGATGGAGAAGGTGCCACCTCCTTGCCGGGAGCCTGCTGGGCCAGGCACCTTCCATTCCTAACAGGCAGACTGATCAGCGAGCCTTGTCTTCACGACGCTTCCCGAAGAACAGTCTGCTGTGGCGGGTCGCTCCTCCGTCACGTGAATTCGTGGTGCTTTCTGTACACACACTGCACCTCTTCCAAACAGGTCCATTAGGGGCAAGCGTGCCGAGCAGCACTGTACGGCACACGTGTGCCGTCCGCAAGTCTGTGGCCCGGCCAGGGAGCAAACTGTTCTGCCAAGTGCTGTAGTGGCTGGGACTCGGGACGAGCAGCTGATAGAGATGCGCCGTCAGGCCACATTTTGCCCTTAGGGTGACTCTAGCAAAGGCCCTTCCCTTTGATGTTCTCTCATACCCCACAGCTCCTTAGCCTGAGAACTCTCTTTAGTTTCTGAATTCCTTCTTTTTTTAAAGACCAGATAAACTTATCTTTCGGACAGTTAGGGGTGCTGAAACGCATCACATGTTTAACACATTGACCGCCACACAAAAAATCAGAAACTTTTCCTGGGGGCCACAATGTTTTATTACGAAAATAGAATAAAAACTGCAAGTGTAATTCAAAGGGAGACATAAATAGAAAAACAAAATTTATTGATTTCTATTCATTTAATCCATGTTTTTAGAATTAAATTGTCAATATTAATGATAACAATAAGAACATCAACAAGGAAGATTTTATATACGCTTCACGCGGCTCCGGGTCAAAGCTGGAGTGAGTCAGCTACAACCCTCGTGGCAGTTACTGTGTTGAACCTCACCACAGAGGAGACCACAGAGGATGGCTTAGTCCAGAGAGCAAAACCTGGGGAACTGTGTTTTAAATAAAATGAACATGTTTAAAATCAGGAGGCTGTACTCAAAAATCCTAATTTCTTGCTTCTCTTAAAAAATGGGATCTGACAACCAAAAGGTCTGTGTCCCTGCCGGTGGCAGTGGGCTGGAGCTGGGGGTGGGTGTCACCGCAGCACGGCCTCTCGGCCTAGTTCTCCGCTGCATCCCTTGTCCCCGGCTTGGACACATCAGGAGCAGAAGCATCGAATGTGCTCGGGGAGGAGGCACGTCTCGAGGGGACGACTGTCACAGACAAGCAGCGAGCCCCCCAGGTCAGGGACCCCGCCCTTGTCCCGCCTGGGCTGTTTGTCAAGTCCAGCCACTTCTTTCCTCTGGCCTCAGGTTTTCCTTCTGTCAAAGAAGACTTCGGTGTATTCAGCAAGAGATTCCACAGTCTTAGGGGACGCCAGCCCTGGGCTTTCTGGGGCGTTCTGCCCCCACAGCAAATGCTAGCTGACTTCCCACACCACAGATCGTTTTGCTGTTTTGGGACATCATATACAAGGAGTCAAACAGTAGGTCCTTGTTTGTGATTCAGGCCGGATGAGAGCCCAGCTCTGTCACTAACTTGTGTGACCTTGAGCAAGCTCCCTTCTGGGTTCAAACATCAGGCCGCCATGAATCCGAGGCACAATTCCTGGCTGTCCCAGTGGGGAGAAATGGGGAGAGAGGCCAACTTGAGTGTATAAACTTTTAGAGATGTAGATGGAGTAGACTAGTGTTGACTGACTTGTTAGGCTTAACCTATTTAAAACCAGATGTATAAAATGAAGTCCTTTTGGAAAGATTGGTTTTTGCCACTTTTATGACATTCTCACTGTTCGTTTGCATCTTCAGTGTTTCTGTCGTCATTAGAACCGCTCTTACTTAGAGTCATCCAGCAGTGATGAGCGCGTGGCGTCCCTGCTGTCTGAGTGGTTTGAGATGCGGCACGTTCTGATCTAGCGGTGACGCTCTCCCCGCCGCCGTCGGCCGTTCACAGATAGGAAGATAGTTGGCGACCTCCACAACCTCGCCACTTCCTGGGCAGCCTTTAAAGCTTGTCAGCATCCAACATTTGAACCCCAGGAATAATTAACTACATATACATTTCTTTGCCTTTTTTTTTTTTTTTTTACTGGTTTCATCAGATGAGTATGTGTAGTAGCAGTTCTCAAACTTACTGGTCTCAGGACCCCTTGACACTATCAGAATTATTGAGGGCTTTTGTTCATGTGGGCTGCTGTTCATACTTACCACATTGGAAATTGAAACAGAAAGTTTTGAAATATTAATTCATTTAAAAATAATGAACTCATTACATGCTAACATCAATAACATTGTATGAAAAATGTATTTCCCAAATAAAAAATCTAGTGAGAAGTTAACATCTGTCTTCAAAACCAGACGGATTCTCACATCCGCCTCTGCGTTCGGTTTGCTGCAGTCGGACGTGTTCGATGAAGTGTGTGCAGATCTGCCCTCACACAGACGCGTGTTCGAAAAAGAGGACAGGATATTTAATAGCCTTTTCAGATAACTGTGAGGGAGATAATTTGATACTTCACCAAAACTCAACAAGCGATGGTATTTCAAAGGTTGGTTGCAGTGTGGAATCGGAAAGCCCGTCCATGACTGTTTCACACTCGGTTGCATTAAGAGCCTCTGCCCTGTCCGGCCCTGCGATTGGGTCTCACCAGGCATAATTCTGTAGCATCCTGCAGCGGTCATTTTGGAATCCCGAGTTATGCACATCTTCCAACTGCCAGCACATGTCATGATAATGCAAAATAAAAAGATCACATTCATTAATATCAATGCCGATCGCATTGGGAAAATATTTAAATACAAATGCTCCCTTACGTCCTGATAAGCCCACTGTAAGTGGAAAATAGTGTAAGTTGAAATACATTTAATACTCCTAACCTGCTGCACATCATATCTTAGCCTAGCTTACCTTAAACCTGCTCAGAACACTACATTAGCCTACAGTTGGGCAAAATCATCTAACACAAGGCTTATTTTATAATAAAGTGTTGAATATCTCACGCAATTTATTGAATACCGTACATTACGTTGAAATTGCGACTGTTTTAGACCGTCAAAGTTGAGAAATTCTAAGTCGAACCGTTATAAATCTGGGAGTGTCTGTATTGGGAAGCTGCCAAGCTCGTGGTGGGTACATGTTTCCAAAAATTCCAATTTTCACTTGAAAGCTCACATTTTATCATTGGCAGCAAATACTATCAGTTGCTTTCCTTGAAGCTCTCTTCATCCATTTTCAAGGAAATGTCTGCCAGATACCCAAGTCTGAATAACCAGTTTGTCCGTTTCTCTTG